GGGGGGGGTACAGAGCCTGAGGTCTGAGTGTTGTTGCCCCTTAGCTTGTGCTAAGATGTCACTTTCAACATTTCAAGGGCTTCCACTTCAGAAGATGGAGCTTAGCTAGTGCAAAGAAGGGGTGGGGTAGAGCTGGGTGGAGCAGTGTCTGGAAATCGGAGCTCAGGTCTAAACAAACAGAAACGTTAAATCTCATTATGCATCTCCCCTCACCAGCCCGCAAAACCAGGGCTTCCAAAATGAAGATTGTCAGACAATTCCTTAACGCATTTTCTCTTGCAGAACTCTTGCAGTTTTGAAAGTGTGTGTGTGTGTGTGTGTGTGTGTCTGTAGCCGAATTAAGAATATTTAAATTGTGCTTGATATATATTCACAAACATTGCTGATTAGCAGGGATGTCATTTGTTTAATGTACCAAGAGCTTTGCTCTCCCCTGAAATTGCTGAGATACTCATCCTTTGATTACACTTTTTAAACATTTTAAACCGATATCTGCATACACATACACTGAAAAGCTATTTTGTGACCAGAGACATTAAAATGGTCCACAGGCTAGTGTTGTTAGTCTTGAGAAACCGTTTGACCAACATCAGACAAATCAAATAAATGAGCAATGAACATCACACATCATGTAGACTCAAAAGTTATGAAGGACTTCCATCTCATCAAAGATACTTTTCACGTCTTTAGCCGTTTTTTTTCGTAGTAGTAAAATAAATCTCAAGTTCATTGTAATAGTGGCCTTAGCAAATGATAACATGCAGTAACCTTTGGCAAGTATGAAGCTCGCGGCAGACTATCATAACGTCAGGATCTCGTGCACACGTGCGACCCGGTAGTAAATGCGAAAAGAAGAGAATCTGTTCTCATTGAATCTGTTAATAATAGGAATGTCATTCTGTACCGACGAGCGTCCTTTACCCTAATTTTATGTTCCGTTCAGTGTGCTTTTTTACCCTCATCTTATTCATCCTTGCGGTGAAAACGATGTGACTCCGACTGTTAATATTTTCCAGCAGTAAAAAAAAAAAAAACAAAATGGAAAAAATACATCATCCGCCTCTAAAAAAAAAAGCACTATGCTCGTCTCCGTGTCTCGGTTAAGAGGGCGGCTTTTGTTTTCCGTTCACAGATAATGAGGGCCGAGCGAAGTAAATAAATACACAGAGAATAAAATGAAAACACAAGTATGCCTGTACGCGGTGGCCTCTCTGCATGGAGTGTCAGCTCAAAGGCGCGTCGATTGCCGCGTTTTACTGACCGCAGGTAAATTCACAGCGCTGATCTGTGTCATAATATTAACCTGGCCCGGGGACACATCCACTCGGTATCACAGATCGGTATCTGTGTACAAAAACACGCTGAGTGTTAGGCGTTTAAGGACGCAATAATTAATTCCCTCTGAAGTACTTTGATGTAATTTGCTCAGATCACTAAACCTCAAATTCCTCTCATATGTACAAATAAACACACTCGTAACAAAGAGATAAAGAAAACAATAAGCAATAAAAAAAACGTGTTGTGAAAGCTTGCCGAGCGGAGTAGCTGAAGAATGCTTTTTGTGGCCATCAAGGTTAATTATCTACACAATGGTGAAGCTAAATGCTGTTCATCTCATGCTTCTGTTTTTGTTGTCTCTAGAACATAAAAACGATCGCTCGTTTGATTCAAGCGGCCGATTACAAAATTAATATTTGACCGCTACTTAAAAGAAACAATTCTGAGGTGAAGGGCTTCAGACAAAAAAAAAGCAACTATTTAGCAGCAAAACAAATATGACCAACGCAAACTGTGTGGTGAGGGCAAGAATTTCTTTGTACCTATGGGGAGCAGGCATTGGATGGAGTTTATCTGAAGACCGATGTGAACCGTTGTTGTGCATGAAGGACAAGGAGCTCAGTCCATATATCTCTTCAACGCCACTGTTTAACCTGGGTCCAGAGGACAGGGAGGGAGCACAGAGCCATGTATAGGGTAATGAGGTGAACCAGACAGGTGTAAGAGAAAGAGTCACACCCCTTGCTCAGGCAGTACTTTGATATCCACGGCATGTTTATTCAGGTGGTCCGGAGCAGGCAGTATGGCTCCCTAGGGCATATTGTATTCAGGACATCTGCTTGTTTTACCTGCCTTTATCATCCTCTCACCTCTCCCCGAAGCCCACCAGGGCAACACGATCCAGCTGGAGCAGAGGGTGAGGTGAACCAGGGTAATCAGAGCGATCCTGACGACTGCTGCTCTCCAGGTGAGTGTATCTCTCTATTCGAGGGCTAAATCAACCGTAAATGATGGAGTGTTTGTCTTCCAGAGCCCCCCGCTCTTCGCCCCCTCCCATCCGCCCCAGCTCCTCAGAGTAGACTTGCCGACGCAAAGAGTTCATTTAACGCCGGCGGTTGTCAACAAAGGCTTGGAGACGGCTGATGGAAAAGAGGTTAGCTCTTCCAGAAAATGGCCCTCATGCTCTGATTGTCTTTTGGCCTCAATTGGCACCCGAGAAAAAAATAAGGGGGCGGAGAGGTGTAACATGGGAGCCAATGTACCTAGCACCAATTAGTCAGGGGCCCTGTTTACACACACGCACCGAGAGTCACCTGTGATGCTCACTTAGCTACCTGTGTCCCCCCCCCCCCCCCCGTTCCTGCCACCCCCGTGTGCTCACTCTCCTTCTTTATGCCGGGTGATTAATTTGACAGAGCTGAGATAGTTCAACCCTTTATTCGGTTAAACTTAAACAAAAAGACAAGGCTCTCAAAAGATTACAGCAGCGCATTAGTGACGGAATGAACCATGAAATTGCTTTTCCCCACCTGCGGTTCGGTTTTCCAACTCTGCGGTGGACGCAGCCAGCCACTCGCGACGGGGGGAAGAGACATTAGTGTTACATCGTTGGCGG